GCACATACATCGGACGCCAGGTCCACCAGGTTCCGGTCGTCCTGGTAGATGCCAATGATGAAGGGCATCGGGGCTTGGAGGAAGTCCAGCAGAGGGCGTGGCAGGATCGGGATGTACACATGGTACCAGGCAAAGGGATACAACAGGAGGGTGCATGTCTCGGCGGCGATATTCAGCAGACCGACATCCTTGGAAGCGAAAACGATCTTCTTCTCGGACAGGATGCACTCGATGACCCGGATGAGGTTCTGCACGTTGAGGGCGCGGAAGAGGGGGAGGATGGAAAACTGGACGTCCAGTGGCAGGGCACCAGCCGGGGGAGGGAGAGGCACAGGGGAGCAGGTGAGTGATGCTCGGACGCCAGGGGAAGAGCGATGGCAGCGGGGGAGCGCACATTCTTCAGGGTGGGCACCGAGTTGTAGGGCGGGCGCCAGATGTAAAACTTTTGCGATTCGAGAGTGATCTCGACCTCCATGCGCCCGGGGGGCGGGATGGGAATCTCAAAGACCAGGTTGGTCAGGTAGCTGGGGGAGGGGAGAGGGGAGGCGGGGGAGGCGGGGATGTAATGTTAGTATGGGATTGGCGTTTGGAGCATTGGGGGGAGGCCGAGAAACGCACCGCTCAAGGGGCAGCGACAGGCCGGGGGAGGACATCTGCATGGCCAGCTGGCAGAGGTAGGCCTTGAAAAAGTCGAAGTAGGCAAACTTGGAGATGAGAACCATGGCACGTGGCTGGTAGTAGTCCGGGGCCGGGGCGACGGTCTGGAGTGCACAAAAGCCGAGAAGGAGCAAGGCCAGGCAGGAGAGGGATAGAGAGAGAGAGATGCGGGGAAAAGGAAGGCACACATGCAGAGAGGGGCGCAGGGGGGGGGGGGGGGGTGTGAGAGGCCGAGGGGAAAGGCAAGGGGCACATCGTGCACATGGTGCGTGGCGAGGGCGCATGCGCACCGTCGGCACCAGGGGGAAGTCCTTCTGGTCGGGAGTCTCGCCGTCGGGCGTCACGCCGGCAGATCCGGCATCGGAGTCGGCACCGGCAGCGGCATTCCAAGGGGCATCCGGGTGGTCGATCTCGGCCAGCAGGTCACTTGACAGAGGCTCATACAGAGTGAGCACGAAGCCGTACGACCGGATGCCGTTGATGTCGGTGTTGGTCTGTGACGGCGGGAGGAGAGAGGGCCAAGGGCCGGGGACAAACATGTGAGGACACACGCCAGGAGGGCCCCCGGGAGAGAGAGAGAGAGAGAGAGAGAGAGCGGGAGGCACAGGGGCAAGTGTGGCCACAAAGAGAACATGGGGCACTTACAAAGGTGTGGTACGTGGGGAAGGGCACGGTGCCGGAGCTGCTGGCCATAAGCTGCACACCTCGGGGGAAGCAAAACTACCGTGGCGATGGCAGGCGGAGAGGGGGGAGGTGAGTCCGGGTGGGCGGCGGAAGATGTGTGTATGTGAATATGCCGGCCCGGGCGTACCAGCTGCAGGTCCGGTGGCAAGCCCTCGGCATCAGCCGGCAGATGGAAGCCGGGCGTCGGGTAGGTGGACAGGATCTCCGGCGCGTAGAGGCGCTTCGAGGGATGCAGAAGCTGGATCTCGCTCCGAGAGAGGGAGGCTGTGGGAGAGCAGGCGGTGGGCCCCAGAGGGCGAGGCCGGGCATGGGAGTTAGCAGGGAAAAGAAGGGGGAGGAGGCAGCAGGGGGCGGACTGGTGCGCACACTCGAAGAGCTCGAACGGCGAGGGTGGCAGGTTCATGCGCCAGTGGCGGGTGGACGGGGCGCTGGCGCCCTTGTCGCTAGCCGGGAGAGGGGCGAACCCGCAGATGAAAACGAAGTTCACCAGCCGATCCGACGACCTCTCGCGGTTGATGGCCTGGCCCGGCGCGACAGGCGGGCTCATCGTGTTCACGGGAGGACCTCTAGAGACGGGGGAGGGCGTGCAAAGGGCAGTGGGGCAGACGGGCAATGGAAGGGGGGGGGAGGGGGAGAGTAGGAGGGCGGTGGCCGGAGGGGGGGGGGGGGATATCGATCTCATGGGCGACCGAGGAGCAGGGAGTCGGTCGCAGATCAACAATCAGGAGGGGCGGATTGGCCCCCGGTCCGGGGGAAATTGTGCCCGACGGAAGGAGGCAACACCCAACCGGGGAGAATCGGATGGTGGGCCCAGAGAGAGTGCGGCCTGTGCCCTGAAAGGAAGGACCCCCTAGGATGATCTCTGCCCCAAGTCCGAGCCCGGGGGGGG